AAAAATGGCAAAATTTCAAAAATCAAGCCAAACGAAAATATGGAACAAAATAAGTAGCCTGCAAAAAATCTAGCCTGTCTCTCGACAGTCGCGGAGCCCTCGCTCAAGCGACATGGGTTATAAGGAAATTTTTTATTTCGCATTTTAAAGCTTTTTTTCTCGACCCATCTGTTTTCTACCTTACCTATATATATTCTAAAGCCACAGAACGAGAATTCTGAAGGTTGAACATTGAGCAAACACTGTCCTTTCATATTTTCTTAAATCTTTGGAGCTTTCAACCTTCATGTTTCTTTGAGAATCATTCTTGGTAGTGAGAAAAGCACTATATTCTTAATCCAAATACCAAAAACCAAACTTCCTACATATTTGTCAGAGGTGTTGAAGATCGAGGAAGGTGACAGAGTTTCAGTCTGTGAAGAACGGGTTGTTCTTTGTAATCCACAGGAGATAGGCGATTCTACCAAACTAGAGGCTACTGCAAGATAGCGGAGTTCCAAGAGAGCGTTGCTTATTGTAGCTGGAAGTGGTGCAGGAACACAGAATCCAGAAAAGTTGTTGAAATTGCAGTCAAGAGATCAGTTAGTATGTGTCGTCGTCTACTCTGGTGGACTGCAAGTCACAAATCGTTTATAGTAGATTGTTGACTGCAAAGTGCCCGGAGTTTTACCCAGTTGGGATTCCTCCATGATCATTCTTGTGCTTTTACTACTTTACTTATTGATTATATGAACTACAGTATTCAAACATAATATTAAATTGACTTGATTGAATAACAATCTAGAGATAATCAATTGGTGACTTGTTGCTAATTAATTAATAATTTTAATTCCGCATATAAAACCTATTTATCCCCCTCTAGATATTGTTAGGGTCAAACTGTGTAAATTTCACCAACTACACTATTACTTAATAATGTCTTGGAAGCATTCTCTAATCAATTGATTTGCAATGCATCCAAGTGCTCGTAACTTTATAAAATCATTCATATATTCCTTCAAGTAACACACCTTAATGTCACTACCC